AAGTGAGGATAAAGGGACAGACTTATCTTCGACCAGTTGTGCGCCTGGTGCGACTGCCAGCTTGGGAAGATGAAGATGACTCTGGCTAAACACCTGATAAGACTTTCCTCTAGTTTTCGAATTTATAACTAAATTCGGGGGCGGCTTTGTCAGAAAGGCTTATAGTTATGGCTATAGTTATGGCAGTTCTAGAAGATCCATGTGTAAAGTTACCCCAGTCTTATTTTGGTGGTCCAGTTTGTGACATCACTTCCTCTAGATAGTCACTTCCTGTAAAGCCGTTTCTACCATTTTGTCCAAGCTGTTGGTGATGGCAGACAGCCTCGTGTGCGTTCATGACTGACATACCACACGGAACCACAGAAATGTACAGATGTCCATACTTCAACTGTCATTAAATACGTAAAACTGTCTCTCCGTGCCCTGCTCTCTGACCGGAGCCCTTATCTTGAAGATACTGTCAGATCAGCAAATAACTTCCAGAGTTCCCACTCTATCACAGCAATAGAGATAAGGAGACGTGGATGTGGGACCATGAACAGGGACGACGGAGTTTACACGCTGGACCACGCATGGGACTGCATCGTCAGAGAGGGGAGAGCGGGCAGTAGAGGGCGACAACGTCCTCTGCTGCCCGCAGATAAACGGAGAAGGAAGTGACGCGCCACCATCAGCGTCAGCCTGAAGAAGCCGGCAGCCGTCGGCGAAACTGTAGCTACAAAACAGGTAAACAAAACTGTTTCTGTGTTTAAAAAGAACGAAAGCATGGGTGATTTAAGCTATTTTGAGCGTGGCGTGGTTGTTGGTGCCAGGCGGGCCGGTCTGACTATTTCACAATCTGTTCAGTTACTGGGATTTTCACCCACAACCATTTCTAGGATTTACAAAGAATGGTATGAAAAGGGAAAAACATCCAGTATGCGGCAGTCCTGTGGGCGAAAATGCCTTGCTGATGCTAGAGGTCAGAGGAGAATGCGCCGACTGATTCAAGCTGATAGAAGAGCCTAACCCTCGTTACCACCGAGGAATGCAGCAAAGCATCTGTGAAGCCACAACATGCACAACCTTGAGGTGGTTGGGCTACAACAGCAGAAGACCCCACCGGGTACCACTCATCTCCACTACAATTAGGAAAAAGAGGCCACAGTTTGCACCAGCTCACCAAAACTGGACAGTTGAAGACTGGAAAAATGTTGCCTGGTCTGAGGAGTCTCGATTTCATTTGAGACATTCAAATGGTGGAGTCAGAATTTGGCATAAACAGAATGAAAACATGGATCCATCGTGCCTTGTTACCACTGTGTAGGCTGGTGGTGGTGGTGTCATGGTGTGGGGGACGTTTACTTGACACACTTTAGGCCCCTTAGTGCCAACTGGGCACCTGAGCATTGTTTCTGACCATGTCTATCCCTTCATGACAACCATGTACCCATCCTATGATGGCTACTTCCAGCAGGATAATGCACCATGTCATGAAGCTCCAATCATTTCTAACTGGTTTCTTGAACATGACGATGAGTTCACTGTACTACAACGGCCTCCACAGTTACCAGATCTCAACCCGATAGAGCATCTTTGGGATGTGGTGGAACGGGAGCTTCGTGCCCTGGATGTGCGTCCCACACATCTCCCAACTGGAAGATGCTATCCTGTCAATATGGCCGACATTTCTAAAGAATGCTTTCAGCACCTTGTTGGATCAATGAATTAAGGCAGTTCTGAAGGTGTAAGTGGGTCAAACACCGTATTAGTGTGGTGTTCCTAATAATCCTTTAGGTGAGTGTGTATTTATTCAAATAAAGGTCTTAAATAAAATACTTTATCTTCTTCTCTAAAGTTAATTACCGTAATTTCCGGACTATAGAGCGCACCTCAATATAAGCCCCACCGGGCTAAAAGCCGCTGATCTCTACTGAATTGAAAACGTAGTTTAACTGAACGTAACTGAACCGATCAGTATGAAACAAAACAGAAAAGTTATCGATTAGTTTATTCATCTTCCTCTTGTGCAATGAAACCATTAAAGTCCTCTTCTTCAGTGTCGGAGTTGAACAGCCTCAGAAGAGCTTCATCACATATTTCTGTGGCGATGTCGGTGTCGCTGTCCGTGTTGCTGTCATCATCCCTGGGTGAAGATGGCTTGAATGAGTTCTTCCCGCTGCCGTCTCCAGCGCCGAACCATGGATTCATTCATGCCAAGCTTACGTGCGGCAGCACTGTTTCTCTCCTTTACTGCCAGATCGATGGCCTTCAACTTAAATGCGGCATCATATGAACTCATACGTGTAGTTACCATGATGAGGGGGTATGGATTTGAAAAAGATTCTTCGTCGTGCCGGCTGTTTGCATGTGCTAAACTAAAATGAGCACTTTCTTCGATTTCCACTTTTGACTTCCACCTGTTTCACTTCCTGCTAAAGCGCCCCCTGGTGGCAGGTGAAGGAAAACCTTCAGTAAAGCCACACCTCATTATAACCCACGTGGTTCAAAGCGTGGGGAAAAAAAGTAGCGGCTTGTAGTCCAGAAAATACGGTAAACTTTTTCTCCCGTCATCAGGTCACCCTAAAACTAGAGCTTTTATCACTCATGGAGGTGCAAACGGGGTTTATGAGACCATCTATCACGGCGTTCCCATGGTGGGAATTCCAGTTTTTGCTGACCAGCCAGACAACATGCTGCACATGAAAGCCAAATGAGATGCAGTTGTTGTGGAATTAAACTCACTGACATCTGAAGACCTCAGAGATGCGATCAACACCGTCATCGATGACACAACGTCAGATTTTTTAAATTCCTGCACCAAGTCTGTTTTAAAGATTAAAAAAAAATTGTTTCGTTTTTGGTGATGAGTCAGCATTAACTTTATTACCAGAATAAATATTTCCCTTCAATTTCCTGTTTTCATGGTACATTTTTACTGTATGGCCCGAAAGAGTAACCTAGCTTAAATGTACAAAACTACAAATGTGCCTTTCATTATTCCCAGTTTGTGAGATAAAAGTTAATCTCTGACAATACATTATGAATAACTCTTTATGTTAACTTGTTTATCCACAGCTACAAAGAAAGTGCCATGAGACTGTCCAGAATCCACCACGACAGACCCATGAGTCCTCTGGACGAGGCGGTTTTCTGGATCGAGTTCACCATGAGGCACAAAGGAGCAAAGCACCTGAGGGTCCAGGCCCACGAGCTCACCTGGTAGCAGTATCACAGCCTGCATGTCCTGAGCTTCCTGCTCTCTGTGGTTCTGCTGCTCCTGTTCCTCCTCGACAAGACCTGCAGGTTCTGTTTCCGGAGGTGCTGCTGCAGAAGGAAGACCAAGAGGAAGGCTGAATAACAAACTCAGCTCAGGTTTATTCAAGTTAAATATTGAATAGAAAGGCTGATTTAATATAGATTTTAATCGGTCTTTTGACCACTGACCTCTTGTGTAAAAATAGGGAAGTAAGAAACTGTTTAAAAAACGGCAAAAACAAAAGTGTTTTGATGTATTTTTTATCTTCTGTGTGATCAAATAGGGTTTTGGGTTTTTATTATTACAAAAAAGGAAAAGGAAAAACATCAGTGTCCAATGTTTTCACTTCTGAATAAATGGTTTGTACTTCACAATTTTTTGTTAAATTCTGACCATTTAGTTTTTGCTCTAGTTTCAGTAACTTCTGTCAAAATGTTTAGAAAAAATATCAAACAGCCGGGATTAAACCCGCAACCTTCTGATTACTGAACTACCCGCTCTCCCTCGGGAGCGACTGCTGTCCAAATGACTAGTTATAAATGACCTGCACTTGTGAAGGGTTTTCAGGTCGGTGTGTGGAGGGAATTTGGGGTCAAATGTCATGCTGCACCTGAGAAGTGATATTAGTGGATTTATTTATGGTTTTATTAGTAATGTTTTTTCATGTCTTCATGTTTCATTTAAATGTTGTTCGGAGGGACCGGCGTCGCCTGCGTATGGCAGACTCGCCTCTGTCAGGACGCCCCAGGGCAGCTGTGGCTACAGTGTAGCTCATCACCACCGGGGTGTGAATGGGTGAATGTGTTGTAAAGTGCCTTGGGGGGTTCCAGGACTCTAGAAGGCACTATACCAAATACAGACTATTTACCATAAATGAACAATAACGTTTTATCTCAGCTTGTTGATTATTGTGTAACAGAGATCTCACAACCACAAATTACTGTTTCACCAAAATAAATACCAACAAATCTAATATTTTATTTCTATATTTAAAAAAAAAAAAGAAAACTGCAGAAAGTCCTAAAAAGAGAGTTAAAGTTAAACGTGACGTTTGGGAATCATTGCAGAATTCAAACAGTACAGAGTATGAAACACTGCTATCCAGAAATAAGCCTGAACAAGTACAACACATTTAGTTCTAGGTTTTATTTCCCATAAACCTGCAGGGATAGAAACACAAATAAGTGAAAGAAAATCAAAAGGATATGCACTCTGAGTTCAAACATTTGAGCTTTTAAACAGCTTTGATGTTTTGTACTTTAGTACTGAAACGAGTCAGAGTTCACAGTTAATAAGTATCCGTACGGCACATCCAGTATAAAGTTCACAGCTGGATTTCCCACAGACAGACAGACGTCCACCATGGAGCTGCGCGTGCGTCTCTGCCTGCATCCTGCTGCTACTTCCTGTAACATCTGGAGTAGATGGAGGGAAGATTTTGGTTTGGTACACCGAGGCCAGCCACTGGATTAACAGGAAGCTGCTGCTGGAGACGCTGGTGGACAGAGGACACCAGGTGACCGTCCTGGTCCCGAGCACATCCATGTTCATCAACAGCAGTGAACCCTCCCGCTTTAATTACCAGCCTTTTGATGTCTCCGTCTCTAAAGAAGATTTTGAGAATTTATTGGCTGAATTCATTCAATTCAACATGTATGACATGGACCACATGAACTACTTTCAGCTTTACATCAAATACATGGAATTGTTCAAGATCAACACTGAGATTTCCCTCCAGTTTTTGGACGGTGGTGAAATCAGAGCCCATCATGAAGAAGCTGAGGAAGGGAAACTATGACGTTCTCCTGGCTGATCCCATCTATTCTGGAAGCAATTTAACTGCTGAGATCTTGGGCATCCCTCTAGTCTTTTCTTTGAGATTTTCGATAGCAAACAACTGGGAGAGACTGTGTGCTCAGCTACCTGCTCCACCTTCCTACGTTCCAGTTGCGGTCAGCAGACTGACAGACAAGATGAACTTCTCAGAGAGAATGTGGAACTTCCTCTTCTACGTCCTGCAGGACTTAGTTCTGGATCAGTGTGTGTGGAAGAAGGTGAGTATTGCTGACTAGAACATTACGTAATGGATTTCATCGTCATCACGAACATGTTTGTTTTCTCAGGAACACCCACCAGTGCCTGTAAGATGATGGGTAATGCTGACATCTGGTTGTTGAGAACCTACTGGGATTTTGACTTTCCCCGTCCATTACTTCCCAACTTCAAATTTGTTGGAGGGATTCACTGCAAACCTGCTAAACCATTACCAAAGGTGCTCTTTCCATAACTGTACACCAAAAAAATCTTAGTTAACCCTCTCAGGCTCAAAACAAGTTTTGATAAAAGGGCAAACAACTAAATCCTTCTTCTGAGTGTAAAAATGCTCATGAAATACGTACGTGGAGTATCCAGGTAGGTAGGTTTTAACGTTGCACATCAGCAACGCCTACTTCCAGAGGGTTAAATCCTAATGTAAAGAATAAGATCTGGAAAAAAAAGATCTACAAAATAGACATCTTATTAGCTGTTTTATTGAATAAAAAAGCAGATTTTGATTTTAAAAAATACAATTTTCTGCTTTAAAGAATTAAAAATCTCTGTTCCTGCAGTATTTCGAAAAGTTTGTCCAAAGCTCTGGAGATGATGGCATCGTGGTCTTTTCTTTGGGATCTATTGTCAAGAATCTGAACATACAAGGCAAACATGATCGCCTCTGCTCTCGCTCAAGTCCCACAAAAGGTCAGAAACGGGGGAATCTACAGGGGGGCTCTGCTGTAGAGCCTTACCCCCGTGGGTTAATTAGATTTTTTGGGTTGCGCCACTTTGACAATGTGCCGTGCGCAGGACGCAGTTGCCTGGAGCGCATCAAAGATCAGCGCTGTTCCTCCTCTCTGCTCAAGAATGCCCCAAGAGTTCAAACAGATCCACAGCCCTGGGCGTGGACGTTGAGGGCTTCGTAATTCTAGCTCTGCTCGACATTTTCTTCAACGTGACAAAGCCCCCCCCCCCCCCCCCCCCCCCCTTTCTCATTTACGTTGTTTTTGACAAAAACAGCTCTGCTGCTCCAAAATGATGCATTTTAAACATTGGTGTTGTGTTATTGTAATATGTTATAATTGAGATAAATAATAAAATATGACAAAAAATTCAAAATGTGGGACAAAAGGACTTATAAGCCAACATTTAGAAAAAAAAGACATTTTTCACATTTTCTGAAAGAAATACGTTGGTTCAGGTTAAAGTTCATTTTTATTACATATAAAGTTAAAGAAAGGGGCGTTCAGGTGCTGCTGTTGATGTTAACACTGGAGCGTCGATGGTCCAGACTGAGATAAATGCGTTAAAGTTAGGCTCCGCCCATTTGGGTTACTATGACCACCAGTGCCTCCTACTACTACTTCTTTCACCCCGCCCACGTGATCCTTTGAAGTGATGTCATAAAGGCTCAGAGTCCTATTATCTAGCATCAGCCGGCTCCCACTTCATTAGCAGCCGACTGCTGGTGTGTGACACATCGACTCTCTGAGACAATCGTCTTTTACAACCTCAAACCTTTTTTCTGAGTTTGATAAAAGACCAAGAGCCTCTAGAATCATGTCTATTCTACATTTTTCATCTGAGGAGCTTCAGCGGGAATTATCTGGGTGTAAACACCCCAAAATTTATTTTTCCCATATGGCGCTCTTGGAGAAAGTCCAGTCTCAGCTTTTAATCACGGAGAAATGGTTAAGTGATGAAAAGCAGCAAACGTTACAAGCAGAGACTGAATTGGAAAAATACAACGACATAATTACCGTCCTGGAACAAGAACTGGACGTTTATCAAGACAACGCAGAGACCTGCAAGGTCACCCTGCAGGCTTTAGAGACCAAACTGAAGAAGAAAGCAACTGTGTGTGAAAATCTGCAAAATCTTTTAAAGCAGGAATCCCAGCTGAGACGTAGATTTGAACAGGGGAAGATAAACGACCAGATTAGGAACGAAGTTGATCAGAAACTAAGAGAAGAAATTAGTGAACTGAAAGAGCGTCTGGATTACTACCAGCTTAACGCTGAGACCTGCAAAACTACAATTCAGGCTTTGAAAATTAAGTTGGAGGAAAAACTAAATGTTTCTGAAAGTTTGCAAAACCAGTTAGGACTGGAGTCAGAGCTGAGACTGCAGCTGGAAGAGGAGAAACAGAATAAAGACTCGCTCACCGAGGCTTTACATGAACAAATCAGAGATTTAGAGATTATAAACGGTGTTCTGGTAGACGAGATGAAAAGTATCTTCTCTGAGACGAACGAGGCAGAGGAGACGCTTTCTGAGGAGGACGGAGAAAAGGCTTCTCTCTGCGGGGAATGTGAACCCAGTTCAGAGGACGAAACTCAGCTGGGACCCAGTCTCAGATTAGCTGAGCCAGTCCAGCAGGAGTCGTCTGGATGTCGGCATCCGACTTTCGATTCCCTTTTCCAGACAGTCGGCTCGGAACACCTACGGCTGTCTCGCCTGGACACAAGTCTCAGTGACCAAGCTGAAATAAGCTCAAAGCTAGAGAGCGAGTGCAAAAAATCCAGAACTCTGATTGATGAACTCAAACAGAAACTGGATTATTACCGAGGTGAGGCAGAGTCCTGCAACAAAATGATGCAGGAGGTAAACTTACAGCTGAAGGAGAAGGATGATCTGCTGGAAAACCTCCAAAAGCGACTCAGACGGGAATCTGAGCTGCTGAGATCCAAGTTTGATCAGCAGCAGAAAATCCAGCGGAACAAAGACAACGTTTATGAGAAATTAAAGGTAGAAATGAGTGAACTAGAAGAGGGACTGGATTACTACCAGAGTAATGCAGAGACCTTCAAAATTACAATTCAGACTCTCAAAACTCAGCTGGAGGAACGAGAACATCTGATTGAAGACCAGCAACAGCGTTTAAAACAGGAGTCAGAGCTGAAACTCCGGCTGGGACAGGAGATTCAGAACAAGGACTCGTTCAACGAGGACTTAGAGACACAAATTAGAGATCTGGAGAAAATCAACCATGATCTCTCAGAACAACTGGAGACCTTTAACTCCAGGAAGAACACGCCTGAGCCAGACGAGAAGCTGTCTGAGGAGCTGGAAGCCTTCACGTACCAGCTGGTAGAGGAAGCTTCTCTGTGTGAACCTCAGGAACAAACTTCTGAGAGTCTGGAGCCTGACGAGGATTACGAGATGGGACATGATGTTTGCTCTCCACCTGCAGAACAGATAGATTCAGTGGAAGCAAGCAGAAGTCTTCATGAAAACGAGCCTTCTCCCAAAGACAGCGTTCCACAAACAGTCAGGAACCAGAATGTTTCATTGTGGAGGCGCTTCAAGAAGTTTCTCACTCCGGCGTGTCTACGGAAACATAAAGTTAGGCCTTAAATTAGCATCTGACCCCCAAAACACTCGGGCTTCATGATGACGTCACCAGTTTAAACCCCAGCTGTGACCTCACGAAAATTAGCATTAGCATTCTCTAAATTTAGGCATTTTTGTGTGAGTGTGTGAGTGAGTGAGTGAGTGTGTGAGTGAGTGAATATCTAATCTTAGATGCAACACCCCTTTAGAGCACACAAGCACAGCAGAAAAAAAAGGGGCTTCCTGATGGAGAATTAGTTCCACATCATGAATGCGTGGGTTTACTCCGGGCGCTCCGGTTCCCCCCACACACATGTAGGGTTAACTAGTGACCCTAACATGTCTCTGGGTGTGAGTGAGTGAGTAACTGATGCAGCTTTCTTTAACATAGAAACATGCTTGCTTAGTGTGGGGATTGCTGGAAAGCCTCTGACACAAAAAGTGGGTGACTCCATGCAATCTGCTGCGTTTCCTTAGGTAGAAAACCTTTAAATGACTGGAAAAATGAGCTGAACTCAAAGCACTTTTGAATCAGTAGAATTTTTTTATTTTTTTTTCCGGAACTGCGCTGCTCTGGGTGGTTGCATGTTGGAGTAGCTCTGTTGACTTTATGTAAGTTTTGCCTTTTCTTGGACTTTTTTTCTTCTAGTTTCTCAAGAAAAACTTTAGTTTTTTTTTTGGACATTTTACTTTTCTGTTTCTGGTGCTGTGAAGCTTTGAGGATTTTTACTGCTATTTTATCACTTTTTGAGCATTTGTTATGATGTGTAACCATGGCAACAAGCTGGTTTACAATCAAGAGCAGCTGATTAACATTGGGAAGGCTGAAATAATACCTCAACTGAAGCCACAAATCCCAAATGAGCTAAAACGCCCAAACCATCTCTTCCATTGATCATAATGGGCAATGTGAGATCACTGGCCAACAAGATGGATGAACTCCAAGCCCTTTCAAGGACTCAGCCAGAGTATCGGCAGTGCAGTGTTATGTGCTTCACTGAGACGTGGCTGCAGGACCATATCCCCGATTCCAGCGTCTCTCTGCCAGGATTCCTGACTGTACGAGCAGACAGAGATCTGAAGAGGAGCGGGAAAAGAAAAGGAGGTGGAGTGGCAGTGCTTGTCAACAACAGATGGTGCCATCCAGGTCATGTTTCAGCGAAATGTCGTCTCTGCAGCCCAGGTGTTGAACTCTTGGCAGTAAGTTGTCGCCCATATTATTTGCCAAGAGACAGAAATACTCAGATGACTCTGCAGTTGTCGGGTGTATCAGAGATGGACAGGAAGCTGAGTACAGAGAGCTGGTGGAGCGCTTTGTGGCATGGTGTGGAAACAATCATCTGACCTTGAATGTGAACAAAACAAAGGAGATGATTTTAGACTTCAGAAGAAGCAGGGTGGAGTCAAACACTGTTTCCATCATGGGAGAAGAAGTGGAGGTGGTTGAGGAATACAAACACCTTGGAGTTCACCTGGACAACAGACTGGACTGGAGAAAGAACAGCGAAGCCGTTTACAAGAAGAGACACAGCAGACTGCACTTCTTGAGGACGCTTAGGTCCTTCAATGTCTGTAGCAAGATGCTGCAGATCTTCTACAAGTCTGTTGTTGAGAGTGTAATCTCTTCAGCCATCGTCTGTTGGGTTAGCAGCATCAGAAGCAGGGACCTGAAAAGCAGTGGCGGCTGGCCAGTAGAGGGCGATAGGGCGCCGCCCTCCCAGTTTCCCCAGTGTTTTTAATTTTTATTTAAAAAAATAAATAAATAAAATTAACAATAATCACATATTCTAAGTTAATTGTGTGTTTGTAACAAAAATAAATCATATATATATATCTATATTGGTCTCTGCCGATCTCTGCCGGTCTCTGCCGAGGGGTGGAGGCTGTGTGCTGTTTTTCAATCGCCCAAACAAGACGGGACCAGTTGTCCAATTGCTGACAAGAAAATCAAAGGGTAGGAATGGGAATGTATCCAATCAGCGTCGACGTTGTTTCAGAAGCATGATGGGCGATAGAGCTACCGCCAAGGCTTTCGTTGGTGTTCGGTAGAACTCGGAGAGTCTCGACTCCAGCACGTTTTTGGTCGTGACTCGTGACGGTCGTGACGCAGACGTAGACATGGACGCCAGTGCGCCTACAACCAGCAGCATGGAGACCGGATCTCAGCAGCCACTGAATTCAGTTCGGTCTCTTCTCCAGTATCCGTTCGAGAGGAGAACTAGGGTGGAAAAATTTAATGTCAAAGAGCTTGGACCAGATCAGCCCGACGTAAAGATAAGCCAGCAGGACAAGGAGAAGGGTAAACTGTACACACGACGCTTCTCCCAAAATTGGTACACCAGGAAGCAGTGGCTAGCTGGATGCAATCACGCTAATGCGTTATTTTGCTTTCTGTGTTTGTTATTCAAAACGGCTGGGATCCACAGAAGGTGGATGTGGAACTTGTGTCTCATTGGGGACCCCATTCATTCTCTGACTGAGGAATGCAGCGCATCAGTGCAGCAGCCAACAAAGAAACGGAGGACGTTTGGACAGGGAGAACAGCAGCTGGGTGCAGAGGTAAGCTGTACATTACATTTCTGTAAACAAGACAATCAGAATCAGAAATCCTTGGTTGTCCCACAAACCGGGACATTTGTTTAATAACATGTACATTGTTTAATGTGCAATAACTGTAAAATTTCATTTCAACACACATACCTATTATACATATTTAATCATGTAAATGTGTATTTCAAGTAAATTTGTACATACATCAGAGAGAATTATAAGACACCTTTCGTCAAACTTTTTGACAGGTCTATTGTTCTTTGACCTTTTTGACCTTTCAGTCCTATTGTTCATTTGACCCTTGACCTTGCCCCCCCTTCCTATCATTAATCAAATGGACAGGTGTATTGTTCAATCTTTGCCCCCCCTTCCGTATCATTAATCAAATGGACATGTGTATTGTTGATCGTCCAGATGGCCTAGACCCCCCACGCCGCATCATCAATGGCGTATTGTTGAACGTGTCCAGATGTCCATGATTCCCCACGTCATAGGCTAATGTGTGTAATGGCGTGTGAAGTTTCTTATTGTGTTACCCATCGGTTCCCACAGCCCCCCTCCCTTCTGAGTGTAATCCTATTGTGTATAACTCTTTAAAAGCTCAGATCTGTCCGAATGGTGAAAAGCCGAGCTCTAAGAAAAAAATGGCTCACTGACAGTGGATGAGTGCGGCCTAACTGCTGTGAATGACAGCCCCACACGCTGGTCAAGTACTTATGAAATGGTTGTACGTCTCCTCAAAGTTAAAGAATCTGTTTGTGAAGTAGCAAACAAGATGGGATGGTCTGCTTGCTCTCGAGTGGGTGGCATAAGCTGAAGTCAATGCAAGAACTTTTGCAGCCTTTTGCTGAACACACACACACAAACTCTTCAGAGTGACACATTGTCTATGTCATTAATAATCTCTTTGATTTACTCAGCCATCTGGCATATGTTCACGTTGGATTTCGTATGTTCAGTCTTAAACTTTGTGTTTAAATGTGTTATTTACATGCAGCTCTCAGACACTTTTTGACCAGAACTAAAACTATTGTGTAAAACTTTCTGTCTAGCAGCACCTCAAATAATGGATGAATCATCAGAGGCTGTAAGCACACACACACACACACACACACACACACACACACACACACACACACACACACACACACACACACACACACACACACACACACACACACACACACACACACACACACATTTAAAGCACTTTCCCCTTTCAGAAAATGTCTGACTCTCTCTGTTACCAACTCTAAACACCATTCATACATTTCTCTCACTTCAGAAAAGCAATGGTTTGCCATCCTAAACCATTTATGGTTCTGTTGTAAACCACCCTGCATACTCAAGCCTATAAGAATAAAAGTTGATCCTTACCTCAGTGTGACGCTTTTAGTCGACAACTCACAAAGCAAATGGGATGGTCTGCTTGCTCTCGAGTGGGTGGCATAAGCTGAAGTCAATGCAAGAACTTTTGCAGCCTTTTGCTGAACACACACAAACTCTTCAGAGTGACACATTGTCTATGTCATTAATAATCTCTTTGATTTACTCAGCCATCTGGCATATGTTCACGTTGGATTTCGTATGTTCAGTCTTAAACTTTGTGTTTAAATGTGTTATTTACATGCAGCTCTCAGACACTTTTTGACCAGAACTAAAACTATTGTGTAAAACTCTCTGTCCAGCAGCACCTCAAATTATGGATGAATCATCAGAGGCTGTAAGCACACACACACACACACACACACACACACACACACACACACACACACACACACACACACACACACACACACACACACACACACACACACACACACACACACACTTCTCTAAGAAGTAAAAGGATTACATTCAAACATTTGTCTTTGACTAAACCATTCAAACATTTCTCTCACTTCACAAAAGCAATGGTTTACCATCCTAAACCATTTATGGTCCTGTTGTAAACCACCCTGCATACTCAAGCCTATAAGAACAAAAGTTGATCCTTACCTCAGCGTGATGCTTTTAAGATCTGTTGAGCTTTTTTAAAGTTCATTCTAAACAATTTTGCACGGCCAGCGACTTCTGACAAAGCAAATGACTTCTTTTTTTTTTTGCAGGTGGCGGGAAAGTTTTAAAAAACAAAGAACTGGTTGAACCAAATCGTCACAGAAACAACACACAAAAAGCAAATTACTTACTTTTTTGCAGGTGGGCTGTATTGAAAGAGTGGCGGGAAAGTTTTAAAACAAAGTTCTGGTTCATTCTAACCAAGTCGGCATGGTAACAATTCACAAAAGCAAATGACTTGCTATTGTTTCAAAGAGCTATTTAGGTGAACAGCATCCTTTGGTTCGTCATCATCAACACTGAAAGCTTAACCCCTCGCCTACTGCCTTTAGTGTCACATTTTGTGACTTTTTGTTTCCACTGTCACACACACACACACACACACACACACACACACACACACACACACACACACACACACACACACACATTGCTTCCTGCCTCAGAGAAAAGATTTGATCCATTTTGTAGGACCTATAACAGCTGAAATAAATAAAAAGCTGTTTATGAGGTTTGTTTTTTGGGAGGGGTGGATTAGTAAAGTCTCAGAGCAGACGTACCTCTGGTCAAACCTTTAATATCATACCTCTCAGAATAGTTAAACTAAGGCACATGCATGCCGTAAACGGATTTACACACGAGCGAAGAAGAAGAACCGATGGATACGTGTTTTGAATATAACCTTCCTCTGCTAAAAACAACGTTCGAATTGAGACATGATGAGATTTCAGGAAGAAATGTCCGGTACAAAAACGGTACGGTATTATTTTTTGGATCGTAAAGGTTTTTTTATTTCTGCTCCGGGGAGTTTTGATGAAGCAATGGATACGAGCACACACACACACACACACACACACACACACACACACACACACACACACACACACACACACACACACACAACTCTAAACACCCATTCATACATTTGTCTACCTATACAACAAAGCAAATTACTATGTATTGTTTATAAACATTTTTTTTTTCGACCAATCGCAACCGTTTTCTATTCAAGATTTTTTTTTAAACAGCTGTATAAAATGTAAACCCGCATTTTCGGAGTCGTGATTTGAGGTGTAACAAGCTAAGATGACGGGTAAGTTTTTAACTCAAGACGCAAATCTTTTTTTTCTCTTTCTGGTTTAACATCTTTATTTTCAGACGCTATTGTCATATCGGACGGCGAGTGGGAAGAAATTCCTATTGAGGAATTAACTTGTAAAACACCGATCCCTCTGGATGATTTGTCTAAAATTAATCGCGCGGTCGAGAATCTGAGTGAGTGGATTTTATAAATATATACGTAACGTTCTTTTCTTCAGCTGAGAAATATCTCATTTTACAGAAAAGGAGGGGGTTCAACCTTACCCCGGAAGTGATAACTTTTACCCAACCACGCCTCCATCCACCAGCCGAACCGTCTTACATCCGTATCAGCCCAGCCATACCGTCAGATCACACGCGAATGCGAACGTGAAAGCTGTTCGTTACAGGACCATCACGCCACAGACGATCCTCGAAGCTGGTAAGTGATTACAAAATAGCGATTAATAAGTCAGAGATGTGTCGTTCATATTTATCGTTTTTATTCTCCAGAGCAAAGGCCGACGGCCTACGCACCCCCAATATCTCAGCCCCCACCACCACCTCCAACCCCTTCTCATGCGCAGACGGATGGTAACGATAAAAAAAACAACTGATTAATAAGTCAAAGATGACTCGTTCACATTTACCGATGTTTTTTATCCTTTCAGAACAACATCCGACAGCCGCTTCAATATATCCGCCCACACCTCCTCCTCCTCCTCCTCCCCCTTCTCCTGCACAGGGTAAGAGATATATAAAAAGGTGGTTATTTACTTCAAAGATGATTCGTTCATATTTTTCCTTGTTTTTATTCTTTCAGAACAATCCGACAGCGACTCTGAAACCGCTGAACGTGGTCCTGAGCAGCCAGCCGGTAAGCTGTTTCACAAAACCGCTCTGCAGAGTATATTTAATTTTTGAAGTAGAAAAGATGATGTTTTTTATCCTTTCAGAACAACCCACGACCGACGAAGAGAACGCCCCACCTCCTGCACCTGTACAGAGTAAGTTAAATTTATATATATAATTTATTAAAAGCTCGTTCATTTTATTTATTTTTATTTATTTTTTCATCAGAAAAACGGCTGAAGAAGAAGAAGCGGGGCAGATTTACCCCATTGCAGAGATTAAACAGGATGAAGCTTGGGTATTTATTCCTGCAAGTCAATTCCGGCCTGGTCGATGTGATGCAACAAGTTCTGGCTCTGTAAAAGGACGACGCAGATTTTTTTCTTCATTTTTAGTAGGTTTTTAATGTCTTTTGTATCATGAGTGAAAATTGGTTTGATAACCTTTCAGATTTGTTTGAAGTAGATGATGAATTAAACGTAGTTGATGATGAATTAAACGTAGTTGATGATGAAATGTTAGATAGAATTTTAGCCAGCCAAAATCCCTCAGTGGAGGAGGCCGATAATTTGGTGTTAACTGACTGGTTTGATTTAAGCGGACTGAGTGAAGTAGATGAATTAGCTTCAGATAGTGAGATCTTAGACGATATTTTAGCATCCCAAGCCGTTTCAAACGAGGTCGATCAAATACTAGCAAATTCAGATGAGCCTTCATCAGAAGCAATAAACGAAATATTGAGACAAATAGAACACCAGCAGCGCGTAAACGAGATCGATCAAATACTAGCAAATTCAGATGACCCATCTCCACAAGCTGTAGATGAAATATTGAGACAAATAGAACACCGGCAGATCGGAGGGAGCGTAAACGCAGCTTTTAACCAGCGTGAAATTAGAGAGAGAGTGTCTTTTCAAGCAATCAACGACCCAGCCGAGTTTTATATTAATCTGATGGAAATATTAAACAGGTTTGCTGAAAGAGGAAGCCAGATCGCGCGTCCCAACGATAGAGTCCAGTTTGAAATTAATACTTTGCACACGACGCACCACGTTAATTTTAATTATGACGGATCAAATATGTTAAATCAGCTTCAGTATTTACTGGATCTGTTAGTCCAATCAAATGAAGCATTAGAGGCCGACAACGAATTTAATTTCAGACTGCAAGTGATAAATAATCCGTCCGGCGGCGGAAAACGAAAAATCGAATCCATTCTGGATCACGAATTAGTCAATAAAAAACGAAACCATCTCATTTGCCCTCCAGAGGCCAATCAGCCGTTGTGTTTTGCGCTAAGCATAGCCGGACTGTTAAATCCCTCAGCGAGAGATACAGAATTATTGAATGTGGCTAAAAATATTCATCAACAAGCAGGGCTTCAGGAGCAATCAACCGTTTCATTTAGCGACGTGATTCAATTTGAAAATATTGTTCAAAGAAAAATAATCATTTTTTACAGATCCGACAGAATCATTTCTAAATTTGAAACAGATTTTAGCGATCGAACAAATCCGTTGTTCATTTTGCTACTGAATCAACATTATTACGGCATAAAAAATATTAAAGGTTTCTTAGGAGCCAAATATTTTTGTTCATGGTGCTTTTCCGCTTATAATAACGTAAACGGACATCACTGTAAATGGTTCTGTCGCGTGTGTAATACCGATTTATGCAAACGAACAGAAACGTCTCTCATCACATGTTCTGATTGTAATCGAATATGCCAAAATGTAATATGTTTTCAAACTCACAAAACACCTGTTTTAAGGCCTCAAGCAAACAGGTTAGTTTCTCCTTGCGAAATGTTTAAAAAATGCACCATTTGTAAACAATCTTATTACATCGCCATGGGTGGAAATGGTTCACAGCACGTTTGCTCAGCGACCAAATGCATCGTTTGCAAACAGTCGGTGGTCACGGACGATCATCGCTGTTTTATTCAGCTTGAAAAAAAAGATGACGGTTTAACGGAAAAGGTTATTTATTACGACACTGAAACGTTTACGGATCAGAACGGTGTGCATACACCTTTTTTAATCTGTGCAAAATCCGATTCAGGCGACGTTTGGGAGAAATTTGGTTTAGATTTGAAGATATAAGATATGTACTTTTCTCTGTAATGCTCTCTCGTCCAGTTTAACTAGAAACTTGCATGCCTTAGCAGAAAGCCAAGTGCATGTTCTATCTTGCTCGGTACTTTCCACCCTGTACTGGTAAACAGGAACTAGGGTTTCCTGTTATTTCTCGACCTTTAAGCACCTAACTCATATTTTGTGCAAGCTGTCAAAATGTCTGCGGTTGAGTGCGGGCGTGTGGAGCTTCAATAAATACAGCCGCTTCAACAGAGGAAGACAGAATCTCAGAGACAGCTGTCAGGACAGAGCGCGGGTTCTGTATGAGGCTGTGAGCTTCTCCACTGCTGCGGTGAACTTTGAACAGGTTTCTGATTCTTGACTCCAACCCTTGAAGCAGAGAACAGAACATCTTCCATCCTCTTCTGATGACCTCGTACCTGTATTGGTTTTAACAGAGCTTAAAACCAACAAAATTGGCGTCACGAACAGGATCCTCTCTCAGCTGATGAGAGAGGGAGGCAGAAGAGACCAATTCGAAACCAGACTCAGGAGCCGGGACCCAGACACAACGGCCGACAAAGATTAAGGTAAGCAGACCTTTTTATACAAAATCTGCTCATTGAACATATTCAAACTAATTTGTGTCGAGGTTCCTGGCAACTGAGGTCAGTAAATTTGATATAATTGTAAAGAGTTGGAGACAAAAACTGAAACTCTAAAAGAACAGGTCTGGGATCTGAAAGAGTTTTATAGAATAGAAAGATAGAATTTCTGGGATTGTCACGAACTACAGCTGACGAGCACAAGTTCCTCTGACAATATTAAAAGCCCGGAAAAGGTCGGGGACCTTGGGGGAAAGCCTCCTAAACAAAACTTTGTACAAGATCAGGGATCTTAAGGTCGGGGACCTTGGGGAAAAAAGTCCCCTAAACGATTGAGAAAGATCAGGGATCTTAGGAAGTGTTACTACAGGTCTGGGACCTGTATGGTTGTGTTCTTCTATTTTTGTTCACATAAATACACAAAGTGTGAGTGCTGTATTTCAGGGGAAGGACCCTGTCCTCTCTGAAATATCAGATTACATAACAAGAAAGGACCTCACATCCCCTTTCTTTTTCACATTGGAATCGGCTCACAGCTAGCGGAGCCAAATTAAGGTTAAAGTGAAAACACATAGACTATTTACACTCATATACTAATTAATATTCATAAGCGGACGCGCAGCATTATGAGCCGCAACTAGGAGGGTAATGCATGAATGAACTGTTGAATGAATGAACTGCTGATATTAAGTGTAAAATACTGAGTGAGAACCAATATAGTACGCCCTTGTGGATGCACAGGTAAGAACTTCCCGCCTGAAAAGGTAGAAGCTTGGAAGTTACCACAACGGTTTTTAGTACTATCTCACGATAAAAAATCAGTGATTAGAGTTCAATGGGAACTAAGACCTCGCTGATCTAAATCGCCACCAAAATCAATAAAGATTAACTCCTACCATTAAAAGAAAAATGGACGGAGAGTTTGATAAAGAGCAAATAGATGATGGGTGGGGACCAAACGAGATCCTGAACACACTGGGAGAACAACTAGCGTGTTTAGAAACAGTGATCAGCACCACAAATGCCCCAGCTGAAGCGACAGAGCAGAAGAAGCTATTAAGGAAGACAGCGGAGAAGTTGATGAAGGAGAAAGGAAAGGATGTAAATAGTGCAGGGAATTGGGGAACAATTTGGGGACAGAAGGTAACAGAAACAGAAAAGAAAGAGGAGGAAGCACGAAAACTGATGGAAAATGCTGGGATGTTTGGGAAGAAAAAGCATCAGAAAGAAGTAGAAAAATTGACAGCACGCAAAGCCAAATACAATCAGTGGGCCCTGCTGTGGAAAATGGCAAAGCCTAAAATGAAGAAAAGAAAAATAGAACAAAATGTAGCGGATAAACAGCCACCACCTTACTCAGGCATATACCCGGTACTTAACATAACCGGAGGAGTGATGTCCATAGAGGAGGAACAGCCTACTGCTCCTCTATTCTCAGTGTCGCCTATAGCCCAGCAGGATAAAAAAGATATTTTCATGAGTAATCAACAGGCTTGTTCATCCCTGTCACAAGCAAAACAGATTAACGATGACAGGCCCTCCACCCCAAGGTCATCCTGTCCCTCCGTGACAAACGGTGACGTTTTGCCCTTCACCGGCCGAATGATCAGACAACAGGTAGAAGAGATGGTCAGACAACAGGTAGAAGAGTTGGAAAACACCATGAGGGAGGCTAGGGAGGCCCCTATACCCAAACCACAACAAACAACACAATGGACAGGTAGTTTTACTCCTATCTGCCCACCACCACCAGACTCCTTAGCTACAGCTTTACCATTCAACCCGAACAACCCTTTCACCGTTAAAGGTGAACTGAGAGCTGCCGCTCAAACTGAGCAGACCACACCACAGAACCTGGTGGTTACCATGAATCTGATAGGTCACAATGAACTAGAAGAACAGACATGTTCCAGTACGGACGCTGGCTCAGATAAAGAATGGTCTAGACAAGATGATGAGGACCCAATAAATGGAATAGAGGCTGAGTTAGTGGACCTAAGCCTTAAACACAAAACGTCACACCGTAGAGATCAGGTAACTCCGATCCCAGGCGGACACTCTTACCACAC